TTAGGAAATATTTGATGTTGTTTTTGTAATTATCCACCAATTTCTTAGAATTAAACATTATCTACAGATTTGCATCGAAGCGTTTCTTATGATAGTGATTTTAATCGTTGTCAGATTAAATCTATACTGGACCCAACTATGCCACGTCCCAACTGTGCCGCGATCCCACTGTGCTGGTTTTTTTTTTATGGCTCTCATTTATTTTGTCAGCACTCACTTGAAAAACTTTTTCTAACGACATATCAAATGATCACAAGTATTATCTAGTTAAAAATATTACCCTAAAAAATTGAAAAGAATTTCGAAAATTAGCGATTTTTAAATTTGTAATTTTTTTGGAGGTTTCCCCTATTTACGGGGAATGAGGGACATATTTTTAATATTTGAGGGTAACGTCTTTGACTAGATACGATTTGTGATCTTTTGACGTATTGTTGACAGAAATCGGTTCAGTTAGAGCTGAGAAAAAGTGGTGACAGACACAAAAAAAATAAAATAAAAACATCATAGTAAAACCAATATCTTTTCTGCTTCTCATCGAAGCCAAAAATTTATGTTAGTTTTAAATTTCCCAGAGTTAAAAACTTAAATAAAACAAAAAAATTATATCATGTTATCTTTAAACTATCCAACTCTAATATAGATTACTTTTTCTGTGAAAAATTAGTGTTTAATGTAAATTGCGTAGTAAATATGATTATGATTTTTACTTAAGTTATATCCAATATTCTCTTAAAACTAATTCCAAGTAATTTTGGTCTTTTATTAAGAATCAGACAATTTCTGTTATATCCTTTTTCCTTAAAAAATCAAGTAGATATTGTTTATACTCATTTTGAGAAACTCTTTGGCAGCATCTGTCACTCTCATTTAATCTCAAAACTTGGCAAACAAAATTGGCTTAGTTAATCCTCTACTATCTGAAATTGATTCATTTTAACAATTTGATTACAGTTCGTTAAATATAAAATTTTTTTTTTAAAATCTATTTCTGTGTGTTTATTTTGGGAAACCGAGACATTGCAACCAAATTGAGTCTATACAAAAAAAGTTCTTAGATACATATTATATAAATGCAAAATTTCCAGACTAGATCATTCTGGTTATGAGAATATTCTCTAAATAGTAAATTTAAAAACTTTAAAGGATAGAAGATATAACTTTTATGAAAATTTATTTAAAAAAACCCAGTACAGGTGGGTCGCGGCACAGTGGTGACGTGGCATAGTTGGATCAAGTATAATGATATCTGACAGTGATTAAAATCACTATATAAAAAAAAAAAAAGCTTCGATGCAAATCTTTAGATAGTGTTTAATTTAAAAAAATTGGTGGATTATTCTAAAAGTTACATGATCTGCTATTTCCTTATTAATATCCTGATTAAGATAAAGTATATCAAATGAAAAAGGGATTATTAAAGAATATTATTTCTTATAAAAAAATTTGTTTTGATTCATACACTTTTCAATGAGTTGTAGTATTATAAAGTTAAAAATTAAAAAAATAAAATCAAGAATTTTCACACAAAAATAATATTTGATAGCCATTTTCACCATGAAGACAAAATAAAATCCAAAATTTTTTTTTTTATATTAAAGTATATTACATAAGCTTTAATTTAAGATATATATAAAAGTATCAGTATTTCCGGAATACTTTCAAAAATTAAGTTGAAAAAGTTCTACATTCTATATGCATTTTTATGTTTTGAACCCCCTCTGTATTAAGGGAAATGGTTCGATTTAAAAAAAAGTATGTCGAATGAAAGAAATATATAAATATTATTTCTTATAAAAAAATTGTATTGATCCATAAATTTTTCAAAAAGTTATAGGATTTTAAAGTAAAAAATGTAAAATATAAAATCGAGAATTTTCACACAAAAATAGCATTTGGTAGCCATTTTCACCGTGAAGACAAAATAAAATCTGAAATTTTTTTTTTAGATAATAAAGTAGATTACATTAGCTTTAATTTAATATATATAATATATAAAAGTGTCAGACTTTCCGGAAAACTTTCAAAATTTAAGTTGAAAAAGTCAATTTTTTGTGAAAAATTTGTCATTTTGAATCCCCACCTGTAGGCAGGTAAAAAGTCAGATTTATAAAAAAACTATACCAAATGATAGGTAAAGAAATCATGCATCTACATAAAAAAGAATTATATTGATCCATAGATTTTTCAAAAAGTTATAGCATTTTAAAGTAAAAAATGTAAAATATAAAATCGAGAATTTTCACCCAAAAATAGCATTCGGTTGCCATTTTCACCGTGAAGACAAAATAAAATCTGAATTTTTTTTTCCATAATAAAATACATTACATTACCTTTAATTTAAGATACATATAAAAATGTTAGACTTTCCGAAGCACTTTCAAAAGTTAAGTTAAAAAGTTAAATTTTTTGTTAACAAGTTGTCATTTCAAAACTCCCCTTGTGGGCTGGTAAAGGGTTAAATTTATAAAAAAAATGTACCAAATGATAGGTAAAGACATTATGCATCTATAAAAAATAAATTATATGGATTTGTGCATTTTTGAAAAAGTTATGGCAGTTTTAAGTAAATAAAATTGAAAAAATTTCGAAAATTAACAATTTTTAATTTTGTAATTTTTTTGGAGATTTCCCCCATTTACGGGGAATAAGGGAAATGTTTTCAATTTTCGACGGTAATATTTTCGATTAGATACGATTTGTGATCTTTTGACGTATCATTGAAAGAAATCGGTTCGGTGAGAGTTGAGAAAAAGTGGTAACAGACACACACACAAAAAAAAAACATATCATTGTAAAATTAATACTTTCTCAGCTTCGCATCGAAGCTAATATGAAATTGAAGATTCCTTTTCCTTAATCTAATACATTTTTAAATTATCTCATATAAAACACCAGATAAAGACCTCTTATACATCCCTTAATCTTTTAACAATCTATTTACAAGTTAGCTTGTTTAATATTTTGTTGTTGTTGTATTCTTATTTAAATATTAATATATAATGTTATAAAATATAATATTGTACTTGTAATTGTAAATTTAGTAAATTTTGTATGTTTTTTTCTTTATTCTATTAATTAAATCATTTGGTCTTATATCCGTTAATAAATAGTTAAATAATACGATTTTTTTTCTTTTAGTATGATTTTACTTATTGTATTAGCAATTTTTTTATTTATAGTGTCGTACGTCGGTAGTGCCCCAACGTAGACACAAAAGTTTAGCACAAATTAATTAATGTTTATATATATATATTGACGACGAGTTCGTCGTTCGAGCTCTTCTCGAGTCCTCCCGTTGGATAAACTGATCAGCCCCAATCCCTTTAATTAGTGGACTACTAAAGGGGTAGACCCGTCAGCACAGTCTAGCTCAAAAGTAGCAGACTGAAGGGTGGCTCCTTGTCAGCCACCAGCACAACTACTTTTTTACTATACCCACTAAAGGACGGTTAAGCCCAAAAACTAGATAGCTAAACTAGACTAATTATTAAGATTGACTAAAGGACCAGCAGTCCAACCTTGACTCTAGCCGCACACACACATACACAATTCTAAGAACACGGTGAATATAAAATATTTGCTCTAAGTCCAGGTTTTAAAATAGCTATTTTATTTATGCAACGTATCAAACACAAAGTCAAAAAGTAATATCAAAAATGTAACACAAAACAAAATTAAATCGTACAAAGACACTCGTGTACACGTAACTCGACGTTTCTTCGACAAAAACGTCCAGTCTCGTCCAGTCCCCGTATATTTTTCATGTTTCCCTTTTATATTGAATTATTGTATTGCTTAAGAGTTCAAAAATTGCTTACTATTATTGTAAAGCTTATATTATACTAAAATCGACGTAATTCAATACTTCCTCATCTAATTACTACAATAGTAAAAATATACATAATTTTTGTCTTTTACAATTATAAATCACACAATAAAACAATTAACGTTATTAAATTTATAAGAAGTGATTTATAGGCTAAACTTTCATATTAATGTAAGTTTGTTAAATATGTTACATTCAAGTACAATTATAATTGGTTAATCGTTCTCTAAACTTAATCAATAACCATAAAGTAATATCATAAATCATAATATGCTATTATTCATTTGACCTTTAAAAAAATGTATTTTTTTTATAAAAGAGAACAAAATTATATAGTAATGAGTTTAATAACTACAAAAAATATATTTTAATGCAGCATGCCTAAGGCAACGGAAGACTTGTTATAGTTTTAAGTGTCAAGGTCTTCTGGAGGAAATATTACGACCTTGTCTAATAAACATGTATCTACTTATATTATGGATATGATATGAATTGTAAAAAAATAATATTATGGAAAATTTGATACTAAAACAATTGCATTTATGACAATGTACCCTTAGCATTAATGTGAAGCTGAGAAGACATTAATATCTTCTTTTATATAACAAAAATTATGTTTGTCTATGTTTTTGCCAACTTTCAGAATATATTTCTATTAAGAGGACTGTTCAGCAATTAAAATTATAACATTTATAAAAATGTAAAAATACATTTATTTTAATGAAATATATATACAAAATATATTAAGCTATTTAAGTTTGAGACATTTTTTTAGCCTGGGTATTAGTTTTTATATTCAAGTTTTATAGAAGTCTGCCATCACCTCTTTTAGCTACTTTACTACTTATTCTTCAACTTCCTTACCATTAGCAAAACGTCGCCCATCAAGAATTTCCTTTCATTAGATAAAAAAATTAAAATTAGGTAGTCAGAGAAATAAAGGGGATCGATATCCCATCCAAACAACGTAAAAAGTTCCTATGAAACTCGAATTGTGCGAGGTCTTGGGGACAATTTTTAGTAACCATTTTTTCCAACACAATGATACCAAGATCTTGCGCAAAAAAAATGAGAAAAGTGCTAAATGACTACCATGTGATTCTTGTAGGACTTCATGATTTTTTTTCGAAAATTTCTCGAAGTAATGAAAAATTTAAACACAATGAATTAATGTACTTGAGTAACTTTATTGTATTTATTTATTTACATAATTAGTGTATAAAATTTCTTTATTTACATAATTCACAAAATGTCTTAGTTTTATTTTTTATTAATTTTTTAAAAATTAAGATAAGTGGTGGTTTAGATTTTTAAATTTCTAAAAATATATTTTGTTAGGAATTTATTTCTAATTGCTATTTTTCCAGGTACGAATGTATGGCCATTCGTCTGTTGGACAAATAAATCCATCTAATTCTTTAGACCAGTTAACTGATTTTTTGCCTACTGGTTGCATCATATTATTCCACAATGCATTGGCAGCTAAAAATTGAACCGTTTAAGATTTGAAATTTTTTTATAACGATTTAATTATTTTCTATTAATTAGTAATTAAGCCGTTTTGATTTAATAAATTACTAATTAGTTATCTATAAAAACTTATTAATACATTTTTAACTATGCTTAATTGATTTATTTATAAGCTTACCTCTTGCATATCCTTTCTGGCTTAAATGAAAACAGTCCGCAGATAAATAAGTTAAATCGGTTTTATTAAATTTGTTTAAAGGGAACATAATGTTTTTTGTAAAAGTTTGAAGATTAATTACAAAGTCTTCTGTACTCCTAAAGACCTCCATTTCAGTCTAATTAAACAAACATTTTATTTTAGATAAAAAAGTTTCAAGTATAAAAAAAAATAAAATAGCCTAGTCGAATTGAAAGTGGCGTCACCAAACACTATCAATAGGTTAATACTCAGTAATTAGCGGCCGGTTAATTAATTGAAGTGATCACTTATATCAACGGCGAAGGAATAATTACAGTGAAGTTATTCTTTTTTTGAAGCAGACAGCAATATTCCAAATTTGCTTGTTTTTAAGTTATAATGAAAATAATACTGCTAATTTTATTGTAGTTTATAATTGTAGGCTTTTAAGTTTTACTAAAATTCTTACTTTATGTTAGAAACTCATTAAAAATAATATAATTATTAAAAAAAATAGTCAAATCAATTAATAAAGGTGGGATATATATGAATATATGAATGAAATTCTTACAACTTCTTTTTCGATCATTTTAAATTGTTCCATTACATTAATGTAATCCTGTTGTTTATTCTTATATTGTAGAGTAAGTAGACATGGGCATTCTCCTCTATTTATTATTTGACAAGATAGTGGCTTTCCAGTGAAATTTATTATAACATTCAAATCTAGATAAATTAAAATTTGTTAAAGACATTGATGCAATAACTAAATACATTAACCATTCATAAATGTTCAAGAAACACAATTATTAGTTTTTTTACATGAAATTATATAAAAAGAGATTTGTCTCTTATTTTTATAAATTATAAGATACTTTTATTCAAAACTCTTTAACAAATTATTGAACATTTCTATTTTTACAGATATGTACATTCTATTTAATAAAATAATGTAAAAAAGTGATTTTCAGAACTATTGAACGTATTTGGTTTTTAAACCAGTTCTTTCAATTCAAAATAAATATTTAAATGCATTTTTTAAAAATAATGTTGCTTTTAAATTGTTGCTAATTGAAATTATTTGGCAAAAAAGTAAATTCTGTTATGTTATTTAAATATTGCAATTAGTGTTAAAATTTCAACAAAAATAATAATTTTAATAAATAATATAGCTTAAAAAATTAAAAAAATATAACCAAACATAGATATTCTTCAAAGCATATAATAGTTTTTGTATAAATTGTTAATAGAAATTTCATTTTATTTTTGAAAGGGCTTCATTTTTAACTCAATCCACAACATAATATTGTTCTATAATTTTAAACAGTAGGGTTTTTCTAAAAATTGTATTTAATTATTTTTATTTCAGTTTTGTTAAACTAATTTTATTGGTTTTTAATAAATTTTATTAATTTTAGTAAATTAAATAAAAAAATTAAATTTAATATCATTTTACTTTGTTTTTGAACTGTGCATTTTGCTTTTCCGATATTATTCAACAGAAAGAAAGTAAAACTCCATTATTGTATAGCTAACATTAAAAATAGATTTTTTAACCCATTGTTCCCCATCGTTTCATAAACGAAACATTTATACATTTTTTTATATATATAATTGAACGAAATTACTTTTTGTCAAGTGCATCTTCACGCAATTGATTTGAACAATTTCACATAAATAATAAATAATGTACATAGTTAATATCAACGTTCCGTATACATAACATTTTATTGTATAAAAAGTTAAACGATATTAGTTTTTTGACTAAATTGTTAAATGAGTATATACTAAAGAAATAAAATGTAGTGCAAATATAAAATTAGGTTTTTCTATCCTTTAGTTCTAAAGGGTTAAAACTATAGAAAAATAGAGATTTTTTAGTAGAAAAACGTATAAATTTATATAAATATTGTAAATTCGTTTTTTTTTTATGAAAAAAAAAATGTCAATATACGTTAATTGGTTTTGACATATTTGAATTATATTAAAAACCTACTTATACTCATCACAAAATTTATCATTGTCCTCGGTAGATTATTTTTAATATATAAGAATGAATTATATAATTTTTCTTTGTAAGTTTTCAATAATTTTATATTGTCTTCGTAACACAGTTGTAAACAAAATGTATTAGGGCCCAACATTATAGTTATTAGCTGTAAAGTGACATTAATTTATAAATAATCATCGTTGAGCATTTAAGTCCAGACCAATTATAGCTAATACCTTCCAGTCGTCATTTAAATTTACACGCTTATCGTTTTTAATTCTTTTTACTAACTCTTTGGTCATAAAAAATATATCAACACTTAGAGCTCCAGTTTCAGCAACATTAAATTGAGAACCACGTTCTTCAGCTAAAGCATCGCCATATGCATAACCGAATAACTTCGGATTAAACATTTTTATAATATTTGGTAATGTCAAATACTGTTTCCATGTTCCTTCGCCCCCTAAAAAATTAAAATATATGTAGTATTATAAAACAAATTTTAAATTTCAGTTTTTGATAAAATATTTGAAATTTAAAAAATATTGTTAAATTTTTTATATTTATTTAAAGCGCTTATATTATAAACATTTTTCTGTTCTATTGATTTTGATTAATTATTTCGTGTTTTTTTTTGATAACAAATATTTATAACAAAGTTGTGTTTTTAAAATAAAGAATATTTGTTAAGAATTATACCTCCAGTCCATGATACCCCACGACTTTCGATTAGTACTTCATATATACTGTTCGAAAAGCTTCCTAGTCCAACGGATAACGAATCTCCAATGCTCCCTATTATATCTATGTCTCCAGGTCTCAGTTGATGAACGCTAGAAGGTCTTATGAGAGATCGAGTACTATTCGTAGTACAAGGAAAGTTTGTAGAATGGAATACACGAGTTTGAGTTTTCTATGACAAGTATTATTTATTTATTTATTTCTCATAATCAACGAAAAAAAATTCCAATTGATTTTTTAATTAAATTACATTAACTAAAATAGAACTACAAGGAATGACGTATGAATTTTTAATTGCTATAAATAATTCAGTTGTTATACTAACTTGATTAATTTCAGCAAAACTTCTGCGATTAGAAGACTTTAATAAAACTTGTAAAGTTCTTCTGACGGGATAAAAGTGTTTGTCTTGTAATTCCAATATATGTTTTGGTACTCCGGTCATTTCATCGTCAGTAAAGCGGTTCATCCATGCTGGTACAAGACTATTACTTTGTACTATTACTACAGGTATCATTATACAACATAGTGTTGTAAAAGTGTCAAGTGTCATTACTTTTATACATAAAAATAATAAATAGAAAAATTAATCGATTTTAAAATAACTATTTCAGTTGAACTTAATGTGTCACATTCATTCAAGTAACACAATTGTTAATTATTATTTACCTAAACGCAAACAGTGTTTAGTGTGCATTTTCAGTAACATCAATATTTGATTAACGAGCGCAAATGTTAATGTTATTTAATGTGAAATTTTCATTTAATACACATTCTTTCCTACACACTTAACATTAATTATGAAAACTCTTTAAAAATATTTATGAATTATTCTTTTAATATTATTTAGATTATTTAAAATACGTCAATAATTTATCGGTTGTAATTTATCAGTAAGCAATTAGATTTAAATATATACTAAATCGTTATTTGTATGTGGTCATCTTAAGTATGGAAACTATTTAATAATGTATTAAATAATATATATTTTAACACTAACATTTAGAGTATTTACATACACTACCGTATTTAATTTTTGGCGTCCTTTTTGTTCTAACTAACCAGCGATATTTGTTCACAACTTAACCTTAATCTTTTTTTATTTTTATTTTCTTAGCAGTATAAACAAAGAAATATAAAATTTTCTAAAAAATGAAAATTTTTGCCCTGATATTTTTCAACTAAATATTAAAGATGATTAAATTATACAATCAGTGCATTTGAGTAATATTTACAGTATTTTAAAAAGAAACGTACAGACTTTTATTTTGTTTTTTTTAGTGAAGATTAATTAATATTGTTAATAAAAAAAATTAAAAACTTACTTTTACATAAACGACAATTTTTTTTTTATATAGGAAATAAATTCTAGGATTGCATCTTATTACATTAATAGGAATTTTTTAAATTTGATATACATTTTATTTATTATGTATGCATTGCTAAGTGGCCTACCTAACTCAATTGGTAACGTGCGTGTCTCGTTACGAAGGTACGAGGGATTTGATACATTATTATAGAGCACTGATTAAAAGTTTTATTTTTTCGGATATTTATAAATAATAAAAAAATCAAATTATTAGGAAATTCAAAAATATAACGTATTTTCAAAAATATATTAACAAGACTTTTTCTTTTAGATCTATTTAATGAATACTCACATCGGGGAGTTTACAGTTTATGATCATTTCAATATGTACTTCAAGTAATTAAATTTTTTAACAAGATAATTTACAAGGATTTAAAAAAATCAAAAATTCAATTTTCTTAAAATCTACTAACCTCTATGTAGCATCCTTATTCTATTTTTCAATGAAAATAAATTAAAACTTATTATAATTAATCCATGTATAATTCAATGTGATATTACACGCCAAGCGTGAATATTTTCGGTTTTACAACAAAAAAAAAAAACGTTTACGACAAGTTCATGGCACACACACCTTCTAACAAGTTACATTATCTACTGTTGTCCGTAGCGGTCATTACCAAGCGTGTAGAGTATACACACATCACAACTACATAATTATGGGTCAGGTTTTTTTTCTGCTAATACACAACTTGACTGGAGTCTCACGTAAAGGTCGAGGACTTGATAGAACCTTGCCTGAACTTAAAAATAATTAATTGATGTATTAATACATTAAATAGATAAATTGTTTCTTTAAAAACTATACATAATTATTTCATGTTCATAACATATAAGAACTAACTGAAATACTCGTCGTTACTTGTGTACAATCACAAAAGAAATCTTATCACTTATTCAATTTTATTGACTTTAATATTAAATTATAAAAAAATAAAAGTGACATGCTAATAAATGTGGGGACCCAGGGCTTCTCCTGGTATTAGATATTGGACGATAAATTACTTGTACTTGGATATTCGGTATTAATTTACAAAATCGACTTAAATTATATGAAATTTAAGTGTTATAATAGAAAATACTTATTAATTTTATAATGTTTAACATTTTTTACATGTAACTTTTATTTAATTTGTATTCGCTAATTCATGTTAGCATTAAATTTATCACATGACAAATATAAATGCTAACAACAAATATTATTATATAATTTAAAGAAAATTAAAATGTTTTAATTAGAATAGGATTAGTTCAATACTTATTAATAAGTATTACAACTATAATTTATTAAACTATTTACTATAAGTAAATTATTTTTTTTTTTGTTTTGAAAATCTCAAAACAAATCTATTTTCTTTTTAATTAAAATAAGTAAATAATTAGAATTTGCTTTTCTGATTCGTTTAATTGGCTTGTTTTTAGTTAAGGATTACTAAAGGATATTAAATAATTTATTATACTATCTAAACTAGTTCTAACAATTTAATTTCGTTTTAGAATCAGATAAATAAAGAATTTGAATAATAAAATAGAGACGAATTTTTCTATATTTTTACCATTGTCACAAAGCCCATCATTATAATAATTCTGATTATTAGAATTCTTTTATTTATAATATGTTAATTAATAAAAATAACTATTAGGCTTGAATAAAAAAAAGATACACCTACTAATGAACAATGACATTAATAGTCGAGGTCTTAGTTAAATAAAACATAAACAAGTAACTATACACTGTGTGTGTGGGACTATCAAATTATGTTCTAAAGAAGTAAACATTATATTTTTTCCCATGAAATGTAAATAAATCATACTTAAAATTATTTATTCACTTAAAATATTCAATGTTCATATTTGATAGAAAATTTTTTATAAAAGCTAGATATTGAAAGTCTTTTATTTAAAAATAATAAGGTAAGACGTGTTATAAATTTGCAGTGATCTTAATATATTTGTATAATAAATAAGAACATTTTTTTCATAAATTTAGTTTGGGAGCAGTTTAAAGGCGAGTTTTATGTAATTCTATACCTCTAGTATAGGTTTTGCATATCAATGTGTCAAATTTTAAATAAGTTAAGGGATGCCGGGACACAACGGATAGATCAAATTTAATAGTCAAAAAAATTATTAAGTGTGTTGCCAACATTCTTTTAATAAGTAATAATTTCGTAAAATTAATTATTATATAGTTGAATTGTTCTCTTGGAGTTTTAGTAACTTCGTAAAAAAATTGAAAATTATTCACTCTGTCCGATTACTTAATAAAATATTCACTTTACAGGGGTTACCTCCGAAACTGTTTTAACTTAAGTTTAAGAATAGTTTTAATTTGGCAACTATATATTTTGCCCGAACTGTTTTTTTAAAATTAAACATTTTTAACTATAATTAGAGTTGGTGAATTACACAAAAATTAAAATATAAAAAGTCTATAAATGTACAATTACTTTTATGTACTCGAAATATAATTGCATTAATTATTTTAATAAATATTGATAATTCATTGCTATTATCATAGTAGACTGCTAACTAAATGGTAGCCTAATCACATTGTACTTTTAGTACATGTTTACAAAATGTATTTATGAAAATTTAGATTTTGAAACATTATCATTATTCACTTTACTCAGTTTTTCCATATTCATTAAATATTTACTGTCTAGAAATTTAATAATTTTTTTTTTTTTTTTTATAATAATAATCTTAAAAAAATAATTCATTTTAAACAATAAATTTAATAAAATAAAAACAAATATTTTTGTATGTTAGTTAAATATATTGAGTTGATCTGTACACATTTTTATTTTAAATTATATGTATATTTTATGTTACAGGAGTATAACAATGTATGTAATACTTTGAAGTTGTTTTATTATGATTTATTGCCAATTATTGTCGGTCAATGGTTGACACGCTACATAAAAACCAACGCGGCAATTTTCAAGAACGTGACATAGAAATTATTAAATAATTTTACATAAAATGTAAGCATATTTTATAAGGAGACAATTATTTTTTTTTTTTTTGCGCGATATACACAATGTGACCTTGAGATTATACTACAGATTACCTGTTGTATATAAACATCCTATAATAGTAAGGAAGCTCTAATGTTATTGAACATTAAAGTTCATAATTAAAAAACTACAAGTAAAATAACCTACGTTTTGTTAATTTTTCTAAGCCAGTTTTTTTTTCTATGAATAAAATAATTTAAAAAAATTAAGTATTACACAAGATTAAAAATGTTTAAATTCCTGATATGTTTGAAAGTGAAGATCTTAATTTATTAATCTTGAATTTTCAGGAATTCAAGATTATTTTTATTTTATTATTTTATTTCAATAATAAATTATTAATTTTAATGACTCCATAAATTTGGAATAAATTTTAAATTTATTTAAATATTTTTTAAATAAAAATTTACAACAATGTAATATTAAAAATGTTGTTACATTCTTTATAAAGTAATAAGAAAAGGTTAATTTAAGTCGTACTCAAAGGTTAAAAACAGGTAGTATAGGCATTTTTCGGTAGAGATTATGTTCATTTTTTTACTAGAATGGGATTTATTAGGATTATTTATAATTTTAATATGTTAGTTTTCATGTTAAGAAAAAATAAGCTAACAAGATAAAGATAACAGTTTGAAATTAGTAAAATAGTTATTGGTTATGTGTATAGTTATTGGCATATTTTAACTATTTTATTAATAAAAAACAAGTATGTTGGTTTTTTAAATTAATTAATTATATTTAATAATTAGATTGACCAATTTATTTAATAATTTTGTTAATAATTAAATTTTTACTTAACTATGAAAGGTATTTTCATCAATTAAAAAAGGTATAAATAAAATAATTGTGTCATCTGAATTACATTAGATCCTACTGAAAATAATCGTGCCAATAACTATATGTTATAAACAAAATGTAAAAATCTGTTATTTAAAAATAAATTATAAACTTAAACGAGTTTTCAAGGCATAACATAAGTTCTTATACGATTAAGTAATATTAAAATTATATTAAAAATATTATTAATTTAAAAACTAAAAAATATTAAACTCAAAAGCCACCAAAAATTACTGAAAAGTGGCGGATACGTATTTTGGAAACAATGGTACCATTATCAACGCTAAACACATAGTATGAGTATTAAACCATATTAATATTTTAATAAAATTGTCACAAATTAGTACTTATAAGTTTAATAGTCCTTTATTTTATTGTTTAATAATAACTACAATTTTATAAATTTAAAATTATTAACTCTGCGGCATTATTTGGAATCCTATTTGTTAAAAAATTATTTTTTTAGTTTTCCTAAGATAAGTATAGAAGACATTAGTCTGGTATGTAAATTCGATTTACATATATATTAATCAAAATGTTGATGCTTAAATTGATAATGAATACTACTTATAATATTAAACTAAAGCACTGATTATAAACTAAGCCTATATTAATATATTACTTTGATGTTTTAAAAAAACACTTGAGTATGTCTGGAAATGTAAGACCAGTAAAAAGCTTCATTAGACAGGCGAGAATAACTGAAAGAGAAATAAATTACGATAAAAGATCTATCATAAAATTTAGTAAAGTTATTTTTTAAAATAATATCTGAAATAAATGTAATATAATTTTACAGAGTTGTATTACTTATTAAATCAATGAAGTCTTTTTTGGCCTTTAATATTAACCTTTCAGTAGCTGGTTTTATCATTGTTAAAATACATCGTGTTGTGTTATCCTCTGTTCTAAAAAATAAAAATTTGTTAGTATTTCTAGGTAAGTAATAAATAAAAATATTAATTAATTTGTAATGGTAATTATACGCAATCATTAACTTAAAAGAAAGCATCTATATTAGCTATGGAAAGTGTTAAGAAAAAATTGTTGTTTGGGTGGTAATTTAGCTAAGTTTTTAATTTGATCCATTTTTTTTATTTTACTTATAACTGTTTTTCGATAAGATCAACACATACTAATAGGGTATGCTCCTCGTAAGATACGTCATCGATAACTTTAAATTCACAGCTAAGTGATGATAAATCTATATTAATAAACGCGAGTAAAAAATGCTAACAAACTGTTATCATTTTTTTACCATGTAAAAATCGAGTCCTAAAAAGAAGGCTAGGTAAATTAATAAAAAATTAATTAACACTATTTATTAATTTTTTGTACAATTTTCTTTCTAGTTTTTTAAAATTCAAAATATTATTTTGATTCAATTGATAAAGTGTAGTCATTCATCAATTAATTACAGTAATATGATAAAAATATTATTATTGAAGGTAAACAATCTGCAATGTTTTGTTAGAAATTTTAAATTAGATACAATAAAAATTTTGTGTTCCTTTTAATATTAATACAAATACATTAGACTTGACATATTTTTCATTTGGTTCACTGCTGAATTTATTGGTTAAAATAGTTAATTTAATCGAATGTTCTAACTAAATCGTTGACTAATAACATACTTGTGAATATGATTCCAAATATATTTGAGTTCGATTTCGGCGCAGTTCGGAAGACAATTACAAAATGTCTCATTTAAAGCTAAAATTAAAAATTAAAATTATTAATTTTTATTCCTAGACTTTATATCGTATAAACTTTCAACATTAGGTTCTAAGTAAGGTCGTTCATTAAAAATAAACAAATTAACTGTTTTGTACATAAATATTAATAATTTTTTTCAATTTTAACACACATTTCTTCATTATTATTAAAAAAAAAAGATTTTAAGTCAATAAATAATTTTACTGATTAAAAGTATTAATTCAAAAAAATTTTACCATACAAACTGGGTTTATACATAGCACATTCAAGCAAACAGGCAGTTTGGCTGTACATATTGTGATGTATAAGTTTTTTCTCATTTCGTAACAAACAACCTCGTTTAGAAGAATCCAAAATTGTTAAAGAAGAATCTTCAATAATTTGTCTTGTTGAATATATAATCTCAATTTCATTGTTCAAATGAATATTAAAAAGTGGCTCTTGAGATTTCCCGAATAACACATAGGTAGGATCGTGCAACGCAATCTAGTGATATTATTAAAACTAATTCACTTAAGTTAAAAAAAAACGAATAGTAAATAAAATTTTTTTCTATTTAGGAAAATCTAGAAGAATAATACTAATACTATACAGGGTGTTCAATAAGTTCGGAAACACCCATTTTTTAGAGCCGCTATTGAGTTTTNTATATTTGACTACTTTAATTTAGCTGTCGTAATATATTTTTTATATTCATCACTAATGTCTACCCCATTTGACAAACACCTAGGTTAATGAACTAAACAAGGTTAATAAATACATATTTAAACTCTATCTATTTTTTCGGATATTTTTAACAAACAACGATGGTACCAAATAAAAAGTTTAAAAAGATAACACGATTTAAAAAAAAAATATTCAATTGGAAAAATTTACTCTTTATATCTTACTCTCCGAATTTATTAATTTAGGAATAGCCTTGTCTCTAAACATATAATTGAATTTAAATTTAATTAAGTAGTTTTCCTAAAGGAAAATTTTTTAACTTAATAAACTTTATACAGAGTTATATGAATTGAGTGCGTTATGATAGAAAAATCACTCTGTGTATATTATATATTTTTAAATAATTATAAAAATAAATAATAAAAAAAAATTATAATAATTGTAAAAATAAAAAGTTGTATTTGTAAAAAACCAGATTGTGCACTCAAAAGGTGTTGAAAAAAATCAATTCAATAATCGGTGCTATAGCGCTTCCAAAATGGCGTTATTACGTGTTAAAAACCAAATTATTATTTTTATTTTTATTTTGAATAAGATAAATTTTACATCACTACGAATAAATAAAATGTATTTTTATCATATTTTATATCTTAATTAAATTTTATTTACTTTAAAATTGGGAATAATAATAATGATTTATGAACGGTTGATATTATTAATATTGATAACTGTCGGGGTCAGTGTGACAAATATATGCATATTAATTGAAGAATACTATAAATTGAATTATTTTAACGAGATATTTTAAGGGAACTTAATTAGAGCATGTTCTAATCCAAATGCATTTTCTGATTTCAATTAATATAAGTTAATAGTTCTAATTCATATATTCTATTTATACATAATCAATATTTTATTGATAAATTAAAAAAAAAAGAAAAGCACCTAAATTATTTTCAAATTATACTTACAACAGAAGGCAGTGAAAATTCGATTATTAATGGTCCTATCTTTGAAAAGTGGCTTACAGATAATTTTTTTCTTCTACAAAATCATACTGTTATTAATATTAAGATAACTAAATCAATAGATAATTATTACTTTTCAATAGTTTGTAAAGAATTTATAGAATAACAAGGTTGATTAATTAAAAGCCGGTTTGATTGAAAATGACGGCAGCAGTTAAATTTTTTTCCGCACCATGAACATGATTTAAATAATTGATTACAAATGGCAATGACATTCTAAAAGTTTAAATCACCTTACTATTAATAATTAATACAAATAATTTTTAAATCTAATTTATTCATTAAATTAAATAATATTATAAAAACAGTGTAAAGGGGCTTTTGTCAGCCTACAACAACATAGTTTGCCGGTTTCATAAGGACTAGCTATGGTAGCCTGACACCTAGACTAGATGTCACACCTATCAGATATGATTATCAAACTATGTGTGGAATTTAATTTTAAGTTATTAATAATTTAATTTGAGTTAATATGTCGTTATATGTAAATTATTATAACATCTCGTGGTTTATTAACCACAACTATGATAATTGAAGTATAAGCAGTTGATATGTAAAACATAGCGTAGTCTGTGTCTAGATTAAGGAACAGAAATAAAATACACGCGAGTACTTAAGCTTCTCTCGCAATAAAATAAACATTACAATTAATGAAATTAAATTTAATCGTTCAAAAAAAAGAAAATTAAATAAAACATGGTCAAAAATATGAATTTATCAAAAATCATGTTAACAAATTAAGGCAACAAAAATAAAATAATTAAACAAAATAAATTAATATAATAAACATTATGGACTGTATTAGAATACATCTGTTATTATTAATCGAAAATTAATGAAAAACACCAGGAGCGGTTTAGACACTTGCTCTTTAGTGTTAGCTAGAAGGAAAAGGAAACATATGTTCTTCATACATAAATAAAGTAAAATAATTTATAAAACATAGCTTATTACATAAATATAATTATAAGAAAGAAAACGAAATGGATGGGTCTCCGAAGAGACCCATCCGTTGGGCTGTATGCTTCGTTAAAAAACATGGCTCTACTCTATCATTGAAAATAATAGTGACTAGGAAACAAAAAACATGTGTACTCTAGCACGGTTAATAACTGAAAGGCCGACGAAGAGCCAACATTGATTTAACAGTAATTAAAAGACGGCTAGTCTTTTTGTGAAGAATCAATACCGATAAACAATTTGATTTTAACTGTATTTATTCTCTCTCATCGCCTTATCTGGCGGCTAACGGCAAAAATAATGGCTTGTTGACACATCTGTGTCAGAAATAGTTTCATTCACGCATTTTCTTGCACAATTAAAAAAACAGATAACAAAAATGATAAAAGATCCACTTTCAAATTTGTAATGTTACAACAGTTAAAATTATTTTTCAGACTACCTGTAAAGGTTGTATCTAATCAATGCAAATTCTGTAATAATTGAGAAATTTGACACAATTTCAGACGTTAGTACACAGTTTATTACTTGATACTAATATATTTTTCAGTCTTTTAAAGTTGATATATAGTGATTAATTAAAATAAAGATAACTTAATATGTTTTCATAACTAGGTTTCTGTATAAATAACTAAAATTCATTGGCTAAAATTAAAAATTATGGCTATCAAGTAAAACATTTATTAAATGCATTTTATTTTTATGGTAGGTGATAAGAAGTTTTTATTAATAACACAAAAATTTTAATTATATAATTTAAATTTTGTTATAAACGATTTTACCTTACACAAATTGCATATTATATTATGACAATTCAGCACAGTAAGGTCATAGCTTTGTTGGGACAAATATAGCTGTTATCTGAAATTGGTGAAAATCACAATCATAAAAACTCTTTGATGTGAATTGTAAAGTGAAATATTAATTTTAATATGATAATTCAATATCTACATTACATTATTATCATTATTACTTTTGGTTCTTTTATGACTTTTAGCTTCGATGCGAAGATGAGAAAATATTACTTTTACTAGGATGTGATTTTTTTTTTATTTATTCATTATTTGTTGTGTCTGTAGCCACTTTTTCTCAGCTCTCACCGAACCGATTTTTTTCAACAATACGTCATAATATTTAAAATCGTATATAGTCAAAGACATTATCCTCAAAAATTTAAAACATTTCCCTCATTCCCCGTAAACGGGGGAAATCTCCAAAAAAAAATACAAATTTAAAAATTGATAATTTTTGATATTTTTTCAATTTTTTTACTTAAAACTACCATAACTTTTTCAAAAATGACTAAATCAATACAATTTTTTTTTATAGTTACATGAGGTACTTAATTATCATTTTGTATATTTTCTTTATAAATCTGGCCCTTTGCCTACCCATAGGGGTAGGGACTGAAAATGACAACTATTTCACAAAAAATTAACTTTGTCAACTTAACATTTGAAAGTGTTTCGGAAATACTGACACTTTTATATTAAAGCTTATGTAGTATACTTTATTATAGAAAAAAATTTCGAACTACATTTTATCTTCATGGTGAAAATGGATACCGTATGCTATTTTTGTGTTAAAATTTTCAATTTTGTATTTTATTTTAAAATACCTTACAAGAGTTTTTGAGTTTGCAAAAATTTTTCAAATCATTTGATTTTTATCTCATTTAGATTCAATAACTTTAATAAATATCAAAGACCCCATCACTGTAGTCCCCTCTTGCTTGAAGAAATTTTTTATTCATATTAAAGTTTTTTTACTATGTGATTTTTTTTTTATGGCTCTCATTTATTTTGTCAGCACTCACTTGAAAAACTTTTTCTAACGATACATCAGATGATCTCAACTATTATCTAGTTAAAGATATTACCCTAAAAAATTGAAAAAAAATTCCACTTTATCAATGAAAAATTTATTTAGCTCACATTCTCCAGTGAGACAATTAAAATCATTAATTTTTAATGTTTTTTAAGTATTTACTATCGAATTAGGTTTGATAAGATAATAGGTTTCAACTACAAAATTAAATAATTTTTTTCTTTATAATATATTAATTTTTTAACTTTATTTGTGTGGTGTGTTACTAATAGTCTATAATATTCCAAATTTTTTGGTAACATGTTGCTATACATGTATTTTTATACAAATGTATAAATTGTATTATTACAAAAATTTTTACAATTATAATCAAATTTTATAATACACTCAATTATATAAATTTTTTTCAACAACATTTTGATTGGTTTTCTTAGTTAAAGTAAATCATTAAAATTTATTATGTTCTGAATATTTCAATTGTAGAATCTTTTTAGTCACCAAACGTTATTTAGAAATAATTTCTATTTAAGTGATAAAAAAATATTAAGCTTTTCTGATAAATTTACAGTAAATATATATAAATTATACGATTTCCTGACTGCATATTAACCTTAACAATACTATTTTTTTATTTTCATAAAATAATAATCAACCAATTTCTTAGAATTAAACACTTTCTACAGATTTGCATCAAAGCGTTTCTTATGATAGTGATTTTAATTACTGTCAGATATCATCTATACTTGCCCCAACTATGCTACGTCCATACTTCCGCGGCCTCACTGTGCTACCGTTCTTTTTTATGCTATCATAAATAAGGAAATAATATTATTAAAGAAATGAGTAAATTAAAAATAATAAATGAATAAATAAAATTGTAGATTATTATAATTATTAATATTTTTAGTAAAATTAATCTTACTTTTGCTCTAAATTCCTTGGTTCTTGTTAATATATTTGTATTGAGTGGATAATCAACTTCAGTGTTACTAGTAAAACCAAAAATTATATACAATATCCAATATTTTAGTTAAATAATATTTATTTAAATTTAATGATACAAATTTCATAAATCCCTATTTAATGTGCATCTTCTCACTTTTTAGTTTCATTGTCACAACAATCCGTGTTAGACATTTGAACGAAAGTTCGATATTAGGAATAGGTTATTAATTTATATAAAAACAACTAGTATATTATTGTAAAATCAAATATATTTTAAATGTATTTGTCATCAATGAAATATAATTTTAAAATAAAAAAGTAAAATCAAAATTGTTATAATATAATAATAAAAATCGTAAAATAATTCAGTCAATATTGTCAAAGGTTAAAATACAAAAGTTTGGTCTATAGACTGTACTCTTTGTGGACTTTATGAATTTAATTTGAATTAAATTATTTTATGACCTTTACTATTGTATTTTACTTTCATCTTTTTTGTTTATTTACTTTTAACTTAATTGATGATAAATATAAATATATTTTAATATATAAATGTATTATATATTAATATAAATATATATATATTTATATATATTTTACAATAATACAGGAGATTCTTTTATTTAAAAGAATAACTTATTCCTAATATATAACTCGCACGAAAAAGTCCTAGTCTGAAATTATCTGCTCACTTTTTTTGTAGATTATTTTTTGGCCATTTAAATGTGTATACTGGTATTCTCAAGATTATGATGGCAAAAACAATATAATAAGAATGGTGTAAAAGTAGAAAATTGGAAAACCCCCAAACAAAATTCTTGGGAAAAAGTCATAGTAAAAGAATTTATAGTTAATAAGTTTTATGAGAATGTCCTAAATCAATTTTATAACTTTGGGTCTATCAAGCTCAAAGAAAAATGATTTCTGTAATAGCTAATAAATAAAGTAAAACAGAGTTATAAAGCTTACATAGAATATTACATCTCTAATTAGATTAAAAATTTCAATTGATCCTGACTTGTAATTTGGCTTTTATAGTTTTACAATGGATATTTAATTAAATTTACCAAGTAATTTTGGGAAACTAGTCAAAGAATTTATGATTTTAATAATTTATCACTATTATAATTTACAATCTTATCATATATCTAAAAAAGTTAATCAAAAATTAAAATATACAACTATTTTGTTAAAAAATTTTAAAACATTTGTAGTGATATTTCCTTTCTAATATATTAATGTTATATTAAGGTACTACTAAAAAACTAGAATATCAATACTAAAATTAAACAAATGAATAAAGGTAAAAACTAATTGATTAGGATTCAACCAATTAATTTTGAGTTAATATTCTAAAATAATTATTTTTATGATTTGTTTTGATTTCGATGTTTAGTACATGATTATTATTTTTAATATTTTTGTATAGATGGCGCTAACACTATGAGTAAAACTATTTAATAAAAAATAAATTGTACAAAGCACTTATATTTTACATGAATTATAAAATTATTTAACGAAAAATATAAATTTTACTTTTCATTAATTTCCAAAATAATGTTACATAATGTAAAAAAAATACTTTATGTTTCCTATTTTAATTAAAATTATTTTAGAAAATTTATTGCAAAAGTCATTAAGTAAAATACAACTCAATTGCTTAAGCTTAATTTTGTTCATTTTGGTTGTAATAATATATTTAAATAATTAATAATCAATTAATATAAAAAAAAAATGGGTATATTGACAGTATCTTGGCTTGCAATTTTTTTTTTTTGTATCAATAATCTTAACAAAATTATCATTGATTGATATTTTAATCTTAAATGCCTAATAATAAGTGTAATAATTTTGAATTCGATAATTACAACTAGTTTAATTTGTTCACATAATTTAAAATGAATGTTTTGAGTAATGATTATTTTTAGATTGAAGCAGTATAGGGAACCAAGTCCTCAAAAAAAATTAATCCTATAAAATTCCAGAACTTTATATGTTTTGTGATATAAAAATATTATTGTGGTGGTAAATTTAATTGAGTCCACTTAATTTTTCAAACTCCACCACTATAAATTTGGAACAGTTGTTTATTTAATAGAAATAATTGTAAGCTTATTTGTGACTTTATAACTTATTAGAGAGCAAAATGAGTAAGACAAAAATATATTTTTTTTGAATTTAAGATGATATTTTTGATAACAAAAATATATAATAAAATATAATTTAAATAGAAATATTTATAATAGTAAAGTTTTTATTATTTTTGTTTATTAACATTAAAATATTAAGGCTGTCATTAACTTTACTCGTTATAAATAATATTTAAATGTGTTATAGGTTCACTTATCGAATAATTAATGATACATGTATTAAGAATAAATCGGCATTCATTAATTAACAAACCTGTACATCAAGTTTTTTTCAGAGTAGCAAACTGTCACTGCAGGCAATTCCGTAGACCAATGTAAGTATGCAGTGTCTGCATCACAGTATGAACCATTACTTTTGTATGAGTTTGTAACATAATGCAATGCCAAACTAACCATAATACACCGGAAGCTATATCGACGGATTAATTTTATGAAGTAATTTGAGTGTGTCATTTTAAATCAATGCGGAGCAACTTTCATAAACAACACACCATATGTTATTTTAAACACTATTCAAATAGTGTCCCTCAAAAAATCTATACTGAATTGTAATGATTATATAAAACTACATGAAGTAAAAAAGAAATAAATATAATAATAATCTGTAATAATAATTTTACATAGCGTGTTTAATACTGAAACATTGGTTTCATTTTTATCTGATAGTTATTTTATATAGCTAAAAAAATCGATCCATATATATTAATAGACTGTAGTTTATATGACTGAAATCCTAATAAAATTAATTTAATAGATTCAAAATAGCAGTAAAAAGCATATTGTGGTTTAGCTTAGATGTTTTGAGAAACGTATAATAAAGATTTCATTATAAAATGCTATAACTTAAAAATCACCTTTAACTAATGGAATTTTGGTATAAAAACCGTAGTTTTAATGTTTATAAAACCAAATGAATTTACATAATTTTTAATTTAAAGTTTTGCCAGTATCTAATTGTTTCTCTATAAAATGTTGAAATTCCATCATTTACAACTATAAAATATCTTGGATTTACATTAGACTATTGTCTTATCTGCGTTAACAATATCCATAATAAAAGACTTCTACTTAATCGACACCTGATATTTTTAAAACACTAATCATTAATAACAAACAAAAATCTAAAAATATGAAACTACTAATGTACAGATGTATTATTTATGTTGAATTATGACCTCCAGCTTTGGGAAATTTCAAAATATCCAAATTAAATAAATCTCTAATAATTTGAGATTTTTCAAAAATATAATTTAAGGAAAAAAAAATAAACTTTTAAAATGAAAGTATCATAACTATCATGCTAACCAAATTAAAATCGCTAAGAAGAAGCAATAATAATCTATAAAATTAGAATTTTTTTTTATCGCTTTATTAGCCCATTAAGGGCCATAGTGGTCTCCTCCAAAGGAGGAGGTTTCTTAATCATTTATATTCTGGAACGGGTAGTTGGTCTGTCGCCGGAAAGAAGGATGGCGGACTCCAATTACCGAAACTCTCGTTCGGCAAATGAATCCGCCCGTGACCGAACCGTCACTATAAAATGAGAAATAATAATTTAAAATAAATAATTATTTAATATTTTCACCTTAATCAAATCGGTATTTTACTTATATCACAGGAAATAATAAGTCTATAATACTAAGCGTTTCACAAATTTACTAAACATTTTCACCGACATCGAAACAAAAATGATCAACTAATTAGAAAAAGTTACAAAGAACGAAAACGATATAGCAAAAGTTTGGGTATCCGGTCATATAAACATATCAAAAATATCAAAATATCAAATAAATTTACAAATAAAGCTTTAGAAAACACAGGAGCAAACAATATAGACGACAAGACGTACATTAACATAAAAAAAGAGATCAAATACACAACACCATACAAATCTGGCAAAAAAATGAAAAAATTCAAATAAAAGCTCAGAAACTCTTACATTAGTATTAGTAATGAAAATAAAATTAATAGAATTTTTCATAGGACATACACCATACACTAATTTATAGTTTTCTAATAGAGAAAGGATACCTCCAATATGTTCTATATGTGATGTACCTTAATTGATCAAACATATTGTTAAAGATTGCATAAATTACGAAGAAACCAAAAAAATGTTCAAAATAAGCCTCCATCCTAACTGAAAACTTTGGACCACACTTAGGTAAACAAATTAAACTCATTACATTTTTAAATATAGACAATAAGATATAAAATAAATTCGCTAAAACAACTGTAAATACATTTTTAATTATATAATAGTAAATTATTAATTTTCATATTGATAAAAATAAATTGTTCACTAATGGTCAATGTTAAAGCGTATAATAAAAAAAAAATCGGTATTTTTAAACAATAATATTAAAATATTTATAATTATATAATTGTATACTGTTTGAATAAAACGTCACTTCATAATAAACACTAAAATATTTCAAGACACATATGGTTACAAATAACAAAATTTCTTCTTTTTATTATTTTTATAGCTATACTAATGTATGTAATTTTCCTGGTGCTCAGTATTTTTCATAATGTTTTCTACTTAGAAAGAGCTACAAATCATTTTATCTTTTAGCATCATTTACATAGAAAATATGTACACTAATACAATGTGATTTAAAAACTACGCCTCACGAAGTATTTTTGAAAATGTAAAAGCTAATTATTACGATTAATATTTTTGAAACAATATTAATTCATTGTTGATCTACTCTTTGGAAACAAAATAAATTTTTATCATCATCCCTTATATTTTAAACTACTATCAACTTTTGTTTTTTATATACACGTCTATTAAACTCTACACGAGTTAAATACTCGTATAAATCTGTAAAAATTATAATAATAATAATTAGCTGTTACATTTCCAAAAATATCTCGTAAGGCGCAGTTATAAAATCACCCTATGTATAATTAAATCAAGGGTTGTGGTTCAGATTATAGTAAAAGAGATCTTTGGCGGGTGTGACGAAGTGGTCCCATTTTAATCTGAGTAATGGCTCGTTTGTTTAAAGCCTTATTCTTATGAAAAGAAATGTTTTTTTAGCCACATTGATGTAAAAATTATTCAGTGTATTGCTAGCATATGTAGTGAATATACTGTCGGTAATTTATTTTATACCTAGCACAAGAGGCGTAACGTTAAAATAAAGGAAAGAAGGTAGAAAAATAAAAGATAATAAATGAGATTACTTCCTTATCTAAGCCGATTCGATGTATTCGTGATTAAAAGAGAAAAGATTTGTTCCGAAGAAATTTCTATAAGAGAATATTTATGGTATTTTGAAAAATTATAATTAAAAAATAGTAATAGTTAAAATATAGTTAAATAATAATTTACAATAGTAATATTAATAATTAATATATGCATTTATAAATTTGTTTGAGCCATTTAAAAAGGACTCATTTTTTACAAATTTGATGAATTACCATAGCGTAGAAATATTTTTCATTTTAGAGAAGAGTAGACTTCCTACTCCTCCCAACCTGTATTGAATTCACTTAACAAAATTTATAAATACTGACTCAAATTACTGAGTTATTGTATGTTAATCGTATAATCAAGTTGTATTTTTTGTATTTTCAGTTTTAAAAAAATTACATGAAAGTATTTTGGTCCAACGAAGAACGAAGGTAAACGAAGAATTAAAAAAATTAAATTTTTACTAAATACTTGATATATCAAAATATTAGATATAATAATATTAAGTTAAAAAAAAACAATAATCATCAAATTAAATGATGCATTCTAGGTATCTAATGTATTAACTCAAGCATTAACCAAGTACAAGGTTACCTTTAATGCTTTTACATTACGTTGTAGTATTTTTAGCTTGATTTTAATAAATTTACTTACATTAACAAATATAAATAAAATATAATTCATCGTAACATGTTGTTTAAGACTTGAATTCATATCATAAAAAATAATTTTCAACCTTGCATTAAAAATTAATACTCAGAAAAATAATAGTGGACCTTGACTGTTTTAGTTTGAACATCCAAGTGGAAAAATGAAAGATGTACACATTTTTTTTGTCTTTCTTTCGCGTTGTATTCCTTGCAGATACTATATCGAGAGTCATTATGATTTTTCCGGTCCAATCGTTCGCATCCTTGCTCATGAGTAAACTTAAATTCGATTTTACAGTGGTGGCATCATACACTTCTTCAATTTTTCATTCGCCATAGTCTTGGGTGATATTTTTTCAGGTTAAATATAGTCTTATTTAGCTTACTTTAGCACTTTATGAATAATTGGATCACAAACTTTTTTTAAATATAAAAACCTTTTTTATAATACGGTGAATATGAAATATATATTTAATTTCATAAAATAATATTCGCAAAATGTTTCATAAAAGAGTCGATTTAAATGAAAACTGAAAAATGATTAGTTATCTTACTGATTAAGGTTTAAACTAAAACTACAAAAAACCTTGGCAGTGAAATCTTAAACATTGTATAGAGAAATGTTTTATTGTAGTATGTAATACATGTAATAACTGATATATATTTATAAATTACTAAGTACGTGATGAATTTGTTTGATTGTTTATTATTATTTTTCATGTGTTAGTATGTAGAAGTTATAAATAACGTTAATTTATATTTATAGTTATAGTTTTCGGTAATACTATGAATAATATAATGATTGTTCATTATTTATAACAAATATAGTATAAAATTTATAATATTTAATATAGTATAATATAAATAAATCATATAGCATTTCAATAATTAAATTGTACATTTTGTTGAGATTATGAAAATTTTGAGAACAGTTTTGATAAGGGTTTAATGTATGTAAAATCTTTCATGGAAAGTAAATTACATTTTTATCCTTATTAAATAGGGGCAAGAAATATAATTGCTCTAGAACATCAATAATAAATAGCACAGCATTGCTATGTTAAGTAACTTAGAGAAAAGTAATTTAAAAAAATACGCATCTCTCATTAATTTAATATTCAATACTAAACATTAGCATTTATTATTTTTCATGAATCAACTTGCAATTAGTCTCAGTTATATTTATAGTACATATAAATACTTCATTATTTATTGAATTGGATTATTATATGAAAAATCACTCTTAATCATTTAATATAAACAATATTTTTATTTCATTTTATAGCGTAATAAATTCGAATATCTTTAATATTATGTATTTATTCTTAACCTTAATATCATAGCTCATCAAAAAACATTACAGTTTAATAATATAATATTGATACTAAAATTTTTATCGATATATTGTATTCATATAATAATATTTTTATTTAATAAAATCATGTTTATTACACATAGAACACGTGGTGTTTAATCTACTTGAGTATTATAGTGAATTTTACTAAAATAGTTTATTTTTGTTATTCTTACAAATATAAATTGTGAATAAACTTACAAATTTTCAATTTTAAAGTTTTAAATTTATTTTTATTTTGTAAATCAACAATTCAGTAATTGTTTAAGACGTAATCTTATTTTACAGCTAATCATTGTC